TGGCGAACTGGTCGATCTCATCAAGAAACAGAATGCAATCACGTCCGCGGATCTCACGACGAATGGACGATGCCCAAGCACTGCAGAGAGATGACCCACTCGTCGCTCCAACTCCCAGCTGTGCGGGGTTCATCGTTAAGAGGGGCAGGCCCAGCGCACGCGCGAAACTCACTGCATGCCGCGTTTTGCCAGTTCCTGGAGGCCCACTCAAGAGGAGTAGCTGAGCTCCATCAGCCTGCAGCGCACTGCCTTCCTCCCGCGTCATGCGCTGGTAGTGTCGGAAGTCCTCGCAGAGCTCGGCATAGTAGGCCAGGAGCTGTAGTTGCTGTGACTCGGTGCCCACCAAGCCATCTTCCTGGATAAAAAGCTGACTCTCCCTGCATATTTTTAAGGCCATCCCGTATTCTCTGGCAGTCAAACCTCTGGTTTCCCTTCTGCGTGTCCGTTTTGGCGGAAACACCACCCTCTTCAGTCCAAACCATCGGTAGGCTGCGCAGCTAACTCCCAAACGCACACCGCTAACTTCACACTTCCAAAATTGTCCCTTCTCCTCTCCTGGAAGGCCTTTTGTCCCTTCGCGTCCCCACCACTCAGCAGCTCTTCGGTGAGTCGTCCCCCTGCCCCACCGGCTCCGCCGACTACCGCGCTGCTCGGCGCTGCGCCCGGCGTGCCCGGCGCCGCGCCCAGGAGGTGCGGTACAGACGCAGCGGCACGGGGCGGCTCGCGGCGGGGAGGAAGCTCCAAGTCTTCCAAGGTCACCTCCACAGGGAAACGGTCACCTGGATTAATCGTAAGGGTCCCGATGAAAAAGGCAGGTGAAGTAAGTGGGAGATGTGCGGGTTGACTGTGTGAGGTCTGTGACAGAATGAATGAAAACAAAGGGTTAGCTAGCATGTACTCTTTCCCTGCGGTCTGAAAAACTGGATGGATTTTAGTTCAGAGATGGTGCATTCACAAGTCCCAAGGATACTGCACCCTTTGCCACTCTGAAACTTGTTGATGTGCTTGGGATCTGTTTAGGGCACCTGAGAAACGCCAATCGCCAACGTCCCGTATCAGCCCGACCCCCTCGCTCGACCTGCACTCGACTCGTCACGTGTCCGGATGATGCGGTGCTCTCCACGGAGCTGGAGGAGCCCATGGCGTTCAGAAAAAAGTAGCTTCTTGTTACTACTAGTAAGGCCAGGAGCCCCTAGTAGCTTCTTGCTCCTAGTAGTAAGGTACTTGTTCCTACTAGCTACTTGTTACTACTAGTAAGGCACCTGTTACTAGAAGCGATGCACTTGTTCCTAGTAGCTTATTGTTTCTAATAGCTTTCAGAAATGAAGACCAAAAAGAGTGAAGTTCCGAGACCTCATCGGGATCCGCAAAACATGAGAGGTATGTACCTCCGGGAAGAAGAACCATACTGTAATGAGGCCTTTTTGGGGGGCTGTTCAACCTCTTTAGAACTGGAAGAAGAACCTTCCCCTTGACATCATCACTTCTCTGGGCTGAATGAGCTGGTCACACTATTGACCCTAAAGGTGTCTTTTGAGAAGGTCTTCAAGGGTCTTCTTGAAGCTCTTGGTGTTGGTCTGGCTTTTCGTACGCAGTCTGCTACATCGTGTTCAGATTCCGAATCGACGTTTTCTCATGGCCCAGTAAGGTGTGTGGGTGTGTGCATGGATCTCTGCCCAGCGCCAAGAATGTCTGGGGTGCAACACAGCAATCCTCGAGTGGAAGTTTGCTGTCCTGAAGACCTCCAAAAAATCTCCCGAAGACGTCCATTAAGCCACAAATGTTCCCCGTTCGCTGCTGATCAACGGTTTCCGCGCCGGCTGAGCCGATGGCGGCAGGAACCCAGGACCGAACCGAACCCACCGAAAATTGGACATGACATGCGTGATTTGGACTGGCAGGAGATCCCGAGAGTTGTAGAAATCCCAGTTCTTGGATAGAATGTTTCATGACACAAAGGAGTACATCTATCGAATTGAGGAACTTGATTGATCATCTGTTCTGGGTCATCAACTGTACATGAATTCCATGAACTTGAGGTTAGTTCTACATGGTCTTTGGTTCTATCTGTGTGCAACCTTCTCCTTCAGCACCAACCAGTTCTACAAGCCCCACGGTTTCATCCTTGTGAACATCCTTCTGGATCTTCTGGTCTGCGATGGTCGAAGGGTTCCTGAGCGACGGGTTCCTGCGACATCGCTCAAAGCGACGGCTCCGACCCGCCAAATCCCCGACGGGTTTCGAGGGGCCCGGAACACCCCTCTGGAGGCTTTGACCCCGAAGGTGTCCAAGGATTCGAGATGGGTTCACCCTCACAAGCCGCAAATGTCTGGTACAGAAGACCGAAGTACTCATTCAACCAAACGCCGAGACTGAAGCCCATGCTCCCTGAGTTTGGAGAAGCCCAAAAACAAGAAGCTCTCCCTCCCTTTTCTCCTGTTGCGAGTCCTAGCCAGACTACGTCGTTTCTAAGGGGGAGACTCGAAACGCGAAGGTCTTCATATTTAAAACACATCTCTCTGGCTCAGCCCGCCAGCGTGATTTTCACAAGAGAGAACTTTGTGGGGAAGTACTGGGAATCCTGATCCAGGTGCCCAATGCAAAATCAATAATCCAAATATAACATATTCAGACAATATATATATATATATATACAATTGTTCTTTTTAAAAAAACGTAATAATAACAATAATAATACATTAATAACCTACAATGCTACATCAACAAAATAATGTGGACTGCTTGACAGCTAGTATGGAACAATGCCCTCGCATATGACCCCGGCTCTGCGACCGACGTATTTTCGGCCATACTCCATCACTCCTCTCAGGTATCCCCTTCCGTTCAACCCATCTTTGAGGGTTCCGAAAGCCCAAGGTGCCACTCGCGCTTCTCGGTGCCCAGGATGTTCGGCTGCTTCTTCTTCTGCACAGCTCGCTTGGAGTCCAAGACCTCGGGAGGGAAGCAACAAAGGTGGCACGAGTGAAAGAAGTGAAGAGATGCCATCAGGCTGCTCTCGTTTTGGGATCCTCAAACAGTTTGAGATCCATGTGATATATCTCATACTTATGCATCGATCCTATCCTATCTGAACTAGCACTTGGAAAAGGAAGTGCCAAAAAAAAAAGAAACATTGCACCAGACTTACCAGACTCCAGACCAAACAGAAAAAAACACCAGGACCCTCGCGATGTGGGTGGCGGCCAACGGGTGTGTCGGACGAGGCCCCAGCTTCGGGTCCCATCGCCAAACGCGTCGCGCGAAACGCGGGAACCCGGTCCCCTCCCGCACCTCTTGGGGCACATCACCACTGTGGAAGACCTTCTGTGCCAAGGTGTAGTTGATCTTGTCACTCTTGGCCGAGCCCACCTTGGAAGTGACCGTTTCGTGTCAAAGGTTTGGAAAAAAAAAGGGAAACGGGTTTGGAAAAACAATGAAAAACAACTCTTGATACAGATGGGGGGTCAAATAAAATTGGACGCGTGCCACGGCACGATTTCTTCGGACGGTTCCGCCCGCAGTTCTTCGGTGTTGAGGGCACCGAACACAAGCGTCTCATGGCGATAAGACCGATAAGACCGGTGTGCATCCAAAAACATGTTGGGTCGGGAGCAACCAACTGTTTCTGCGAGGTTGCGTGCCTTCAAAACCCACATCTCATGTATCTATGAGGCCTCCGGAGCCCTTGTTTGTTCGTTCAGACAACACAAAGAGATACCGTAGATCCAAAAAGAAATGACTCACTGGCTTCCGGACAAAAAGAAACAAAGAAAAGGGCCTACTCCAGGACCCTCCAAGGGGTGCCCAATGGAAGCCTATAGGTAGTGTGGGGTAGTCCATTGGACACCCCAATTTGTGGGTTCCTCGTTGCCCTCAGAACCTCAACCGCCACGCCACGCCCTTCGTCCCCCCCTCTTCGTCCCGTGGGCAGCGGGACAAGACCAACAGCAACACCTCCGGTTTCAAAGCACCTCCTCCACTCCTCCAGGGATCTCCGCGCCTGAAACTTGCTGGTGAGGTATGGATGTGTCATGGAAGATTTCAGCGTCGCCGTGGAGTTCGGCGCCGACGCCGCGGCCGCCATGGAGTGCGTCCTGTTGACCAGGACCCGGACGACCGTGCGCCGGGGGGGTCACGGATCGGGTGGGTCGAAGGGTCGGGGACTGAGACTCTCGACCCACGCGATGGTCCCGTGTCGATTGGGCCAATCCCATGCGTTCGACCATGACAGCTTCGGCGTTGATCCAAACCTATCTCAAGCATCAACGCCCCAGTCATAGACAAACACAAGCCTATCACGTGGCACAACGTCTATCTCAAGCCCCCCTACACGTTGATCCCAAAGTGGCACACAAGCCCCCAGTCTATGCGGACAGCAAGCCACAACACGTTGCTGAGGCGAAGATCGTTGCTCCGAGATATCGTTTGATGAGTCGACCATTCGGCAGCGTGTGGCATGCAATGAATCAGCCCCAGCCAAGGGGTATGAGTTCCCCATCCCTGCAATGCCCATGCCAATGGAACACGTAAAATGTGTAATCCTTATGTATGTATGTATGTATGTATGTATGTATGTATGTATGTATGT